GGGGTAGGTGTGGCTTAAAGAAAATGAAAATTTGAATTTTTTTTCAAGAACAAACTTAATTTTTTTTTTCTTTGTGGGAAGTGGAGGTAGGGGTAGTCAGGGTTTGGTGGGGTAAAAAAAATCAAAAAATTTAAAATTTGACTTGTTTTTCGAAAATAAAATTTTAAGTTGTTAATGTTTTTGGTTGGGGGGATGGGCTTGTTTGGGGGTAGGGGGGAGGGTAGGGACAAAACAAATTGATTTTTTTTTTAAAAAGGAAATTTTTAAAATTTTATTTTTTTTAATGGAGGGGGTAATCAGGGTAGGGTAAGAATTTTTTTTATTTGAGGTTGGAGGACAGTTTTGGAAAATGTATTCCATAAGTTTTGAAGGAAAGTCATTTTCCTTAAAATAAATAAATAAATTTGAGAAAAATATGATGATTTGGAAAATATTTTCCAAAACATTTAAGCCAACCAAACATGGAAAAAATGAAAAATATTTTCGAGAAAATATTTATTCATACCAAACACACCCACTATATTTTCAAAAAGAATGTCAAAATAATTTGAAGAGATTAAGAGTTCAATTCGACGTTTAGTCCTTATGATGTGTATGGGGGAGTTGTTAATTGCATAATGAGTGTAGGTTTTATTGAAAATGGGAGGTGTAAAAAATAAATTGACCACGTGTTTGATTAAATTTCTTATAACTGTACAGTTAATGGAGGGGCAAGTTTGAGTTTGAAAATAGTGTTAATATTTGATCCAAATTAGTGGGAAAGGAGCATTTTGAATTAAATATAAATAGAAGAAAGGCAAATCTAATCCAATAATTGAAAGAAAGACATTTTGAACCTTTTTTAATATGTTAAAACCATGTCAACCCTTTTTCGTATAAAATATACATAGAGAAATGAGGTTTCCAAAATGGGTTGTTTGTTGACAAACCTTAAAAATGACTATCATTTGGACATTATTAGAGATCTATAACTATTGTTCGAGTAATTGCAATTTATAACTATTGTTTGAGATGTTGAGCTTCAAACGAAAAATCTCGCCTCTATCCCCATTTCCCTCTTTCTCTTCCTCTCTCTCACTGTCTCACATGTCCTTTCTCTTTTCCTTTCTTTGTATTTTGTATTTTGTATTTTCACTCATATCTCTTTGCATTTTATATTTTCACCCCTATATCTCTTTCTTTGTATATTGTATTTTCACCACTCTCTCTCTTTGTATTTTATATTTTGTATATTTACCTCTCTGCCTCTTTATATTTTATAGTTTCACTTTGTCTCTTTTTGTATTTTGTGTTTTTACCCCCCCCCCCCCCCTCCCCCCTACCTTCTCTCTTTGTATTTTATATTTTTACCTCTTGTCCTCTTTGTATTTTCACCTATCTCCCTCTTTGTATTTATATTTTCACCTCTTCCCTTTCTCTCTCTTTGTATTTTGTTTTTTTGTCTCTTTCTCTCTCTTTGTATTTGGTATTTTAAATTTTTACCTCTCTCCTCTTTGTATTTTATATTTTCACCTCTCTCCTCTTTGTATTTTATAATTTCACCTCTCTTCTTTGTATTTTATATTTTCACCTTCTTTTTTTCTCTTTGTACTTTGTATCTTTACCTCTCTATGTAGTTACACATATTTTTGTTGAGATACTCGCAGCAGTCTGTTATCAATACATATCAGGTTGTTAGAGTAGATTTAGTTCAAATCATTTGATTCAATCTTTTCCACAAGGTTAGATTAAGTTGTTAAAGTAGTTCCTTAGATTTAGTCAAGTTAGTTACATATTAAGTTGTTAGAGTAGTTCCTTAGAATTAGTCAAGTTAGTTACATATTAAGTTGTTAGAGTAGTTCCTTAGAATTAGTCAAGTTAGTTACATATTAAGTTGTTAGAGTAGTTCCTTAGAATTAGTCAAGTTAGTTACATATTAAGTTGTTAGAGTAGTTCCTTAGAATTAGTCAAGTTAGTTACATATTAAGTTGTTAGAGTAGTTCCTTAGAATTAGTCAAGTTAGTTACATATTAAGTTGTTAGAGTAGTTCCTTAGAATTAGTCAAGTTAGTTACATCTTACCTGTATTTAAGTTGATGTTACGATTGAATAAGATCATTCAAATTTACTTTGATTCTCAATCTCTTTATGGTTTCAGATCCCCTCTAAAGCTCTCACGAGTCTGATCCAATTTTTTCCTCTCTCTCCGCGTAAAAAATATGATTGTACCAGTTACCACAAGTGACAGTGCCGCTGCAATCTCGACTACCACTCATGTGGTACAGTTCAATCTAGCTGCCCAATTACCGATCAAACTGCAAGTTAAACTCAAGGCGCAACTAGTGATGCTACTCAATGGACACAATCTCCTTGAGCATCTCACTAGTGCCAAATTTGCTCCGCCAACCACTATCACACAAACTGATAGTACTCTCTCAAATCTTGAATATGAGATGTGGTTTTGCCAAGACCAACTAATTCAACAGGCAATGATGGCATCAGTTGACCACACCATTGCTCCCACTGTTGCAACTATCTCCTCTACAAAAATAGCATGAGATCTCCTTCATACAACTTATGCCAATAGGAGTCACACTCGCATTTTTAGCTTGCGAGATCAGTTGCAAAACTTGAAAAAAGTTTCCCAGACAGTTGCTACTTACCTACAGGAGATCAGATCAATTGCTGATGCTCTCAAAGTAGCAAGCTCTCCAGTGGCTGATGATGAACTAGCAGTCAAGATCTTAAGTGGCCTAGGTCATGAGTACCGTGAAATCACTGCCGCTATAAGAGCGCGTGACACAACCTTAAGCTTTAAGGAGCTATTTCAGAAACTCATGGACCATGAACTCTTTCTCAAACATCAATATATTGAGAAATCATCCTCCATCATCATGGTAGCAGTTGCACAAAGGACCAACTTTCAGCCCCAACATCAGAAGAATAATCGCCGCTTCCCTAATCAATCTTCGAAACCACAAGATCCATGACAGGCATACCTTGGCAATCAACAAAATGGGAGACAGCCCAGGCAAGCGGTGAAATACCAACTTTGCCAAAAGATCGGTCACACAACTAATGTGTGTCGCTTAAAATCGCACAATCACTTTGAAACTAAGGTCAACTTTGTATCGAATCATCACTCAGATGCAAGTCCTTGGATTCATGATTCTGGAGCAACCCATCATGTCACAACAAATTCAGATAATCTTGAAGAATATACTGGCAATTAGGAAGTGTCCATGGGTGACGGTAAAACTATTCTCATTACTCACACTGGTTTAACTCAAATTAAATCTTTTAACTATAATTTCATGCTCTCTAACACTCTTTGTGCTCCAGCTATAAAAAAGAACCTTATTTCTTTTGCTAAGTTTTGCTCTGACAATCTAACCTCAATAGAATTTTTTCCACACTCTTTTCTTGTGAAGGATCTCAAAACTCAGAGAATGCTGGTACAAGGCTGGAATAAACATGGACTCTATGAGTGGCCCTAGAGGGATCATATGTCACTTTCCGCCAACTTCACCTCCACCAAAGCCTCTTGTCAACTATGACACCGCCGCTTGGGTCATCCTCATTTGAAAATCCTAGACTTAGTACAGAATAAATTTTCACTTCCCTTTTCCACCAAAGAAAAGTTTGAGTTTTGTAATTCTTGCTCATCAAATAAAGCTCATCGTATGCCATTTCAATGACTCACTTTAAATAGTAATGCACCACTTCAAACTTTGTTTAGTGATTTATGGGGTCCATCACCCATTTTATCCATTGATAAAAAGTTGTATTACTGCATTTTTGTTGATCATTACACCAAATATATTCGGTTATGTACAATCAAAAACAAAAGTGAAGTCGCTTCCATCTTTGCGCAATTTCATCCTTTGGTGAAAAACTTTTTTAAACACAAAATTGCCTCACTTTATATTGATGGAGGGGGTGAATACACAGTTCTTAAACACTACCTACAATGCAATGACATTGAGCATTTAATTTCCCAACCCTACACACCCCAACGAGTTGCCATAGCTGAACGATGACATCATCACATTATCGAAACAACTCGAACTCTTCTCAATAAAGCCTCACTACCATCTGAATTATGGTCCTTTTCCTATCATCATGCTGTCTATCTCATAAATAGACTCCCTACACCTAGTCTAAATAATGATTCTCTTCACAAAAAAATTATTTGGCGAACCTCCAAAATACTCTTTGCTAATTTTTTTTGATTGTCTTTGGTTATCCATGGCTTAAACCATATACACACAATAAATTTCAGTCTAGATCTACACCATGTGTTTACTTAGGAGTTTCTATTGTTCATCATGCGCACCTCTATTTTGATCCAGTGCACTAAAAAATATTCGTTAGTCGTGATGTTCAATTTTGTGAAGATATTTTTTCTTTTACTCAAATGTTCTCACACTTGAAAAATAAGTTTTCCATGTTAAAATGGGAAATCATAGAGTCCCAGGTCTGTAAAGAAACTCATACAGAAGTCCAACACAACTTGGACTCCAATCTCGTTCCAACTCTTCCGTCGCCTATTCCTATCCCCCTAACACTTCCCTTTCATTCAAACACTTAAGAGTTCATAATTGAAAGGCAACCACCAGCAGTCTCCACTTAATTAGGTATAATTCCTTCCGCTTCTCAATCTCCTTCACTATTTAATAATGCTGCCCATAACACCTCTCTCCCATCACTCGATTCCAGTCCTCTCCAACCAATATTGATCCAGCAGCCACTGAATCCTCCAGAAATTATGCTAACTATCGCTTCCCTTCCACCCTCCAGTGTGGTCACAAGGTCCAAAAATAATATCTTCAAACCGAATAAACAATTCAACTTATTGGCTCACCTTTCTCCCACACCAAATACATTTAAGCAAGCAGTTAAGCACATTGAATGGAAGAATAACATGGATCTGGAATACGAAGCTTCAATGAGAAACCAAACTTGGGAACTAGTACCTAGGGACCCGATGAACAATGTTGTTGATTGTAAGAGGTTATTTCGCGTTAAAAGGAAAACTAATGGTTCTATTGACAGGTACAAGGAACGATTAGTAGAAAAAGGTTTCACACAATGTCCAGGATTGGACTTTCATGAAACGTTCAGTCCGATTTTCAAACCAACCACCATCAGAACCGTTCTTTCAATTGCAATTCAAAACAAGTGGAAAATTCACCAGCTTGACGCGAACAATGCATTTTTGCAAGGCAACTTGCAAGAGCAAGTATTCATGGCTCAGCCGAAAGTCTATGCTAACTCTGATTTTCCCATTCATGTATGCCATCTCAAAAAGGCCATTTATGGCCTAAAGCAAGCTCCACGTGCCTGATATGAAGCTCTCAAATCTCACTTAACTAAAATTGGGTTTGTTAAGTATGAATCAGATGCTTCTCTGTTTATTTTCACATCTGAAGCTGTCACGATGTATATTTTGGTGTATGTTGCTGATATCCTCATTACTGGGAATTACCCAACCCTTGTCGCACATGTAATCAACTCTCTGGCTGACATGTTCTCTCTAAAGAACCTTGGTGAACTCAACTATTTTTTGGGGATCGAAGTCAAACATTTTCCGAATGGGATTTTCTTATCACAGTCCAGATACATACTTAAGATTCTCCCAGATGTAGATATGGCCGACTATAAAGGGGTTATGACACCCATGTGCTCAACAAAAGCAGGCGATGGTTCACCTCCTGCCGGTGCAACCTTGTATCGATGCACTCTGGGTAAGTTTTAATGCTTATCATTCACGCGTTCTAATATTGCATTTGCAGTTAACAAATTAGCTTTGTTTATGCAATCCCCGAGTCTGGAGCACTGGAAAGCAGTAAAAAGGGTTCTTCGATATCTCAAGGAATCAACAACATCGTGTTTGCAAATATCTCGTCACTTTGATAGTAATCTATATATGTATGCCGATGCTGATTGGGCGGGCGATCCATGTGACCGAATCACATATGGTTATATACTCTTCTTAGGACCAAATCCTATCTATTGGTCCTCTAATTAGAAGCAGCAATCAGTTGCTCGGTCTGCTACTGAAGCAGAATATAAATCGGTAGCCAATGCACTCTCTCAGATTACTTGGGTCCATAACCTATCGAATGAGTTTACGATATCAAGTTTCACAAACGCCAAGCATTTTTTGTGATAACATTGGTGTTTCATATCTCAGCATAAATCCAGTCTTCCACACTAAGATGAAGGACATTGCAGTAGACCTTTATTACCTTCGCAACGGTGTGAAATCAGGCAGAGTGATAGTCAAATATTTTCATGCCGTGGATCAAATTGCAAACACTCCCACAAAGCCGCTGCCCAAGCCTGCCTTTCTTCAGCGTTTATCCAAGTTAGGCGTTGTTGCACCATACCTAACTTGAGGGGGTGTGTTGAGATACTCGCAGCAGTCTGTTATCAATACTTATTAGGTTGTTAGAGTAGATTTAGTTCAAATCATTTGATTGCTCTTTTCCACAATATTAGATTAAGTTGTTAAAGTAGTTCCTTAGATTTAGTCAAGTTAGTTACATATTAAGTTGTTAGAGTAGTTCCTTAGAATTAGTCAAGTTAGTTACATATTAAGTTGTTAGAGTAGTTCCTTAGAATTAGTCAAGTTAGTTACATATTAAGTTGTTAGAGTAGTTCCTTAGAATTAGTCAAGTTAGTTACATATTAAGTTGTTAGAGTAGTTCCTTAGAATTAGTCAAGTTAGTTACATATTAAGTTGTTAGAGTAGTTCCTTAGAATTAGTCAAGTTAGTTACATCTTACTTGTATTTAAGTTGATGTTACGATTTAATAAGATCATTCAAGTTTGCTTTGATTCTCAATCTCTTTAATTTTGAGGTATCATGTGAATGTCTTTGTTGTCTTTATGCGTGCATTTAGGTTATATCACTTGTATTCAAAACTTTTGTATCACTTTTATTCATTTATTCTTGTATTAATTCACTCTTGTATCACTTGTATTAAATTTTTTTGTGTCACTTGTATTAATTTGTTCTTGATAGTTTGAATTCATTCACTGTTGTATCACTTATATTCATTTGCACGTAGAAATGTGTATCAAAAAACTGAAAGAAAAAAGGCTAAAAGGAGAGAAAATATATCATTGCACAAAACAAAATATAAGAAAATGACTATATATATAGAAAGGATATACAATTGATACACATACACAACAAAATATATGAAAAAAGGCTATAGAGAGAAAGGGAGAGGAAAATAGAGCAAAATATAATTGATACAAACATACAAAACAAATTACAAGAAAAAAGGCTTAAAGAGAAAGTGAGAGGAAAAGAGAGAGAAAATATGTAATTGATACAAACATACTAAACAAAATACAAGGAAAAGGGCTACATAGAGACGGAGAGGAAAACAAAGAAAATATATAATTGATACAAACACACAAAGTAAAATATAGGAAAAAGGCTAAAGAAAGAGAGGCGGTGATAAAAGGAGAAGGAGAGAGAAAGAAAAAAATATATAGTTAATACATACAAACACACAAAATAAAGTACAAAAAAAGGCTATAGAGATAGACGGAGAGAATATACAATTGATACAAAAACAATTAACAAATACAAGAAAAAAGTCTCTCTATATAGAGAATATGCAATTGATATAAACACAATTAACAAAATACAAGAAAAAAGTCTCTCTAAAGAGAGAATATACAATTGATAGAAACACCAAAAATAAAATACAAGAAAAAAGGCTAGAGACAAGGAGAGCAAATATACAATTGATATAAGTACACAAAATAAAATATATGAAAAAGGCAAAAAGAGACAGCGAGAGAAGGTGAGGCGGAGAGACATATATATATAGAGCAAATATACCACTGATACAAACACATAAAGCAAAGTACAAAAAAAATTAAAAAGGAGAGAAGCAATGAGAGAGGGAGATGGATATGGAGAGAGTAAATATACAACTAACACAAAAATACAAAGTAAAATAAAATA